TAGTACAGGGTTTAGTTTCAAGATGCTTAAAAGAAAAAGTAGTATGCTAAAGAATCTCAGTTCCTTTACAGCTCAGAATTTCATACATTCAAATGATAGATTAATTCAAGCATGTTGGGATATGAGTCCTTTTTTTATATTTCAGTGGATTGATCGATTAATCTCAACAGTTCTGTTGGAGTATATCTAATCAAATGTAATTATTTATAATTTTTATGTATCAGATGCATTATGAAAGGTAGCTAAGAGTTTATGCCTTTTTTTTCTCTGTAACAGTTTTTATTTATTTTTTTAAATTAAATCATAGCTGTGTATATTAATGCAGTCTTGGGGTACAGTGTGCTGGTTCTGTACACAATCTGAAATACTTTCATCAAGAGTTTATGCCTTTAATGGTAGTATTAATCTAAGGAATGCATTAATGACAATCATGTATTTGTATTTTTAAATGTAGTATATGGAATCACATACTGGACATCAGCATATTTTTATGTGGTTTGCCCATGGTTTTTATATTATAACTTATATGGACAATGCTTTGCTTGCTTGGGATTACAAAAATTAATATGCTAGCTGTTTTCATTTCCTCTAACCTAGACTCCTTCTCTTCTAGTGTTATTAGCTTAGCTACTAAGTGTGCTATGCCCAGTTTCCGAATGCACCTGAGAGCACATGGAATGGTAGCAATGGTCTTTAAAACCTTGGATGATTCTCAGCACCATCAGGTATTTTTAAGTTTCTGGGATTGAGAAATTGTATTAAAAATCCTAGTCTATGTGGCTACCAAAAAATAACCTTTGCTGAATATTCTGTAATTATATACTCATTATAGATTGGGTTCATTTTATTTGCCAAATATGTAGAGCTTAATGCTACAAGTTTTTGTTGAGTGAGTTACTTGTTTTCTTATGATAACTTTTTTTTCTAAATTTGTTAATTTATACAATTGAAATTTTATTTATCATAGTTAACATACCATACTGGATATTTGATTCTTTTTTTAAAAATTTTCATTGTTTTTTTTTCTCTTGCTGAATTTCTTTTTTTTAATAATTATTTTTATTAAATCATAAGTTTGTACGTTGATGCATTTATGGGGTTCAGGGTACTGCTTCAATATA